CAATGGTTCGATCGATCTCAGACCACCATTGAAAATCTGGAAGTACTTGTTGGCCGTCTCGTCCCAGTATGAGACTCCTCAGTAGTACCCATCCACCATCCCACGATCTCATACTACGACGAAACGAGCGTCCAGTACTTCTACGTTTATAATGGTTGTCTAATATTGGTCGGTTTATGGTCTCAATAAAAATTCAACAATTTCCAAAACCCTATACTGATAAATATTAAGAATACTTTGATCATAAAGCCCCAATGAAAGATTGACTGGCTACCGAGATCATATTTAAGAAACATAAAAAACAAGGAGATTAAGCCGGTATAAATAACAATAATTCGAAAGACATGTTTAAATTCATAAATCAGGTGAACACGTTAAACATCGGTCAGTAAGATATAAGAATTATTAGATCACGACATGGGATACAGTAAGGTGAAGTTGTTAGACAATAAATTTAACTGTTGAGCATGACACTAAAACAAGAACTTCCATACAATTATGGGTAAAACACTCGAGTAATCTTGTTTCTTAAAGCATACTATTTTTTTGTTACTCATCATACATTATGTCACGTAAAGCAAGACATTTGACATTAGTGAAAGATTTTCATTTCTTATATTACGTCCAACAAAATCATCAGTTCAATCTAGCAGGATGAAACAGAACAACGTAAGGTCTCTCTAAATTAACTAGTAACATGAATTAACTTTATGACAAGCCGAATCATTGAACATTCAGATCAGAATAATTAACACGATTATATAATAAGATAATCATTCAGCATATCATTATAATCTGTCTTTCAAGCCTTAAAAATTATTTTACGGTATTTCACTGTGCAAAAGTTACTTAGTCTTATTTTAAGGATTATTTACATCATGGAATACGATTCACTGAAGAATCATTCAAAAGTGGGAAACACTACAAGGTTATCTCATTGCAATTAAGGTGTACTTTAAATAGTGAATATTATCAACCTCACAAATTTTTAACTTATTAATGATAATATCATTCAGCTAGCAATTGAAGCAGGTCAATTGTATAGAACTTACAAGAAGGAATAATGTAACTATAAGGAGATGAGGTATTTACAAAGAAATTATTTGAGATAATCAATTATATATAGAGTTCGAAGAAGTGGATATTTCTGATAATTATTATTTATTGAATTATGAACAATGTGTCTAGCAGAATCCTTAGTATTAGCCGAACTCTATCGAACAGATGCCCAGTTATTCACACTTCTAAGTCGAAAATGCTATAAATTACGACTAATGATAGGTAGTTGAAGGTTATTATTGGGAAGATTTAAGTCTATTTTATATGCTAATCAGTACACCTTAGTAAATCTAATGTGCAATCTTTGATAAACTGATGTTCACCCCCAAAGATTTTAATTTTTAACCCCAATTATCTTATACTGAATTATTTGGCTATTAAACTACGTAATAGGCATTAGCCATATGAGGAAGAGGAAAAAAATGTCTTTGAGGGGATGATTACCACTAACTTATTGTACATCTTAGTATTCATTATTGTGCAATAAATAAATATTTATGAACAATTTTAGGGACATGCTTTTATGATACTTAGTCATCAAATATGCGTTTAAAAGAATAAAATGGAGGATCATTTTCACACGGATGAATACAAAATTAGGTGGAATTATTGTTAATGTGTAGATTCTAAAAACGAATCTAAAAAGATATACTGATTGATTTCGTGTGTAAATCCATAAATGATACGAAACCGATGCTCAACTTTAGTAAAGAAGATCTCATTGTGAGATATAAAGGTTTCAGATTTCTTAGTGTATGAACAGGTTAGCTTTACGATAGGTTCATAAATTTCTTCTGAAAAACAATGAGAGGTGAATTTCAATGTTGTTGGAACAGTGATACAGTTAAGATAATTGTGGGACTATGTGGAGAACTAACTGAACCTAATAATATAGACCACCGGATATTAACAAAATAGTCAAAAGTATCGTGCTCTTCATGATACTTGGTGTTTTGAGTTCGACCGCTTGTGGCTTTATGGTCATATAATTCTGAGACGACTTAAATTAGAATGAAAACAGCCGTCCAATACTCACAGGTTTTTATTGGTGTCAGACAGTAATGAAAACATTATCTTTAATAAAAGCGTAACTATTTGATTCCTTAATGATACTATACTGATTGTATTGAAGAATTTGACGATTGAACATTTTTTCCAGACAAAAGTACAGAAGAGATATATACACTTATCGTCTATTAATTAGTACGTCTAACTAGTTTGTTTAGACATAATAATGACAACAATAAACATAGAGGTTCAATAATATAAAACATCAATCAAAATAAAATCAGCGTTGATTTTCATTTTAAAAATTATTGTGGATAATACTTTGTTAATGTTTTTCTAAAAAAATTAATCTATTTTCTGCCTAAATGTATAAAAGGATTAAAAAAATGCTCCAGGCATTTCCTGGAGTTCTAGTGAGAAGCAGTGACCAGTGGAGTTCAACCGGGTCTGTTGTGAGATAGTAACTCACTAAAGACAATGGTGAATGTGTCGCTCAATTCCGTGGATTGGTTGAAGTTAGAGATTAACACTGTCGAATGCCGGCTCAGTTGTCTAGAGGTTAAGCGTTAGCGCGAGAGACCAACAGGTCTTGGGTTCGAATCTCGTGAGGTGGGATCGTGGATGTGCACTGTTGAGTCCCATAATAAGACGAAACGGTCATCCAGTGCTTCCAGGTTTGCCATGGTGATCTAGCTTCAATTGACTCATAGTCTCAAATATTAAATGTTTGTTAAAAAATCAAACATTTTATTTTACATCCATTTATTAAATGGATCTGTATTTTTGAATGTCAAGTGCATTCTAGATAAAAAAAGAATTTATGTAAGTTTATTATTGGTTTCGAGCATCACAAGTCTAAATAATTTATCTCGAAATGGAACGGTAAAAGGAATTGTTTACTGAATCTATTTAAAGTAGCTTGAACTTTCACATTATTATTATTATCGAAGTGTAAACACTAGAAAGCGGATGACATTGAAGAGCTATTTCCCTCTTTATAACGTTATTTATGATTCATCATCACTATACGCCTACAGTTTTATTTTACGAAGTAAATTTACATTTTCTTTTCGGTCTATTGCTTTACAGTATTTGTTCAATAGTTCCAACACTTGATGCCTCATATTAATTGATTAGACATGATTAAAATCGTGCACTTGATTAACGGAAAAATCGAAATGTTGCAGAAAAAATCAATCGCGTTAATTAGAAACACAATCACGTTTGTTTAAAATGTCAATGAAAACCTATGATCTTTGCAAGCTGTATATTCCATTTTTAAGCAAGTCTAGACATTTTAAAATCTAAAAGCGAAACTATTTTAAATTGTCATTTAAAAGTATTTTGTTAAAGCATGTTGTTAAGAGATATTCAAGTGCTATCAAGTTGCACTGTGGCAACTAGTCTTAGTGACTTGACATTGCGTGCACTGTTTTGATGTTAAGTAGTTGGACGAAGTCCTGGCGATAATTATCAATTCTCAGTAACCAATTAATGTAGAAAGCTGTCCTATGAGAATTCACTCACAACTACAAAGCTCAGTGATAACATCTCTTAGTGTGAAACTGAGTAACCAGGGTTACAAGCCACCAAGAAATATCAGTTTCCTCACGACTGCCAGTAAGCCTTTTTGATGAATATCTAAGTTCAGGGTGTTTTGACAATTACCTCCGAAATCTATTTACGAAATGACATTGGATATTTTCGTTTAATCATTATTCTACACACACAAATATACATACATATTATCATACATCAAGTATTTTGTCTAATATCTCAAGTTCTGCACATTGCTGATGACCAGTAACTTCAAGATGATTTTTCATTATTAATCTTCAGTTTATCAACATCATGACAAGGTGTTCTATGGGTTTCGTTCTACTGAAAACTAGTTGACCATCTATTGACTATTGTCTATTCCAGTTAAGGCTTTCGGAAGTTAAATGTACTTCAGTGCTTGTCGATCAATTAGTCGAGGCATCTCAGTGTTTCTTTTGCCGACTTTATCTATGTTACGAAGTATTTTCATGACGAAAATCTCACTAGTAAATATAGTCCTTAAAATCCATATTTCGTCTGCCAACGACGATGACTAACAATTTCAAAAACACCAGATCAACAGGGCTATCAAGGAAAACATCTTAATCAAATTGCTTCTAACCGAAAAATATACTGAGCATATAACTTTGAGTTGTATCCACAGGACATAAAGATCTTGAAAACTTAGAGCTTGTTTTTTAATCTTCCTACTTAGTCGACTAGAATTAAATAAGTAGTTCAAAAAGACTAGTTACAATTACAACCACAGAATCAAACGAGCAAAACGGTGGTAATATAATATTATATATAACCCATAGATAAGACCTAGATGAAAGCCACAGTGGTCACTACTCTGGGATCAGTTAGTGTAAACATCTTGGTCTTTTTAAGATATTAGTCTTGGCCTTAATATCTCAGTGGATACCTCTCTGCCTATGATACGGAACTGAATCATACGAGGAGAATCGGTTCCGCCGAAATCGTAGATTATTTTTGTTGACAAGTCCTAGGTTGTAATAAGAGACATGGACAATCATACAAGGAAACTCGTAATAAAAGATACTACTTGTGGACAGTTTTTTTCTGCTATCAGACAGCATTTACGTCTGCACAGATAAAACAAATCTAATATACAGAAATGAAGCAAAATCGTAGTCATACAGAGTACATTTCTGATTGACTCGATGGGTAATTTTTTATTGAGAACAAATGACTTGACTGGGAAAATACACTTTTTTTAAAGTCAGTATTAATTAATTGAAAAAGATTGTAGATATTTAGAAATAGTTTTGTTTTGAAGCTAAAGAAAACCACCATATAAAATAATTTCGTATTTACAGAAATAAAAAATCAACCATATATTCGTAGTGATTTTTTGTTCATTATGGAAAGAATTATTGCTTTTCAATTAACGTCCCTCGAATTCGCCTTTGTTGAGCCTCTTCATTGGCCTGTTAAATAAACATAGAATTGATGAGTTCACATCGAACTGTAATAAGTTTTCTGATAATTATTTTGAACTTATATATTATTATTTTTAATACTCATGTACAATAAAAATTTATTACATAGGTTGGCAAACCAAATGAAAAGTTCCAAGATAACTAAAGTAGTTAATATCTGTAACGTAGATAACATACTGCCATTATTATATAACCTCCTTAATGGCAAGTATGTTGTGACTTTAAAAATCATAAACTTGAAAATTATATCTTTTCAATTCTGAACATGATAAGTGAAGCGAAATTCTAGGTGCTCTGTTCTATATAGTCTATAGAAATATTCAAATCACAGAGATGTTCCTTAATTTTTAATCAATGACGCAACAGTGAAATCAACACTAATTTACTTGTAAAAAAGTATTATCATTTGTTATTAAACGTTAGTGAATAATTTTAACTTCCAAACATAAAAAAACATTTTCAGCTCAGGCGAGGACCCATAAGTATTATATTAAACCTCTCTGACAATCATACATGGCAATGACGTTGACTGTATACAACTTGTGGAAATGAAGATTCATAATATAAAATTTGGAATCCACCTAGGTCACATCAAGTACGGTTTTGACTGGAGTCCCAACTAGTTAGGAGATGCAAAAGATGAGCTTGACTTTTAAGTTATTTATTCTAACACATAGATATTGGTACAAGGAGGCACCAAATACATACGCGCCACACAAATCTCATTTGATATGTGTGAGGGCTGTGATACTGCCCGGGTGCCCAAATCGGAACAGGTGGTTTTCTTAGGAGGCCACACCCTGAGCCTTCGACATGAAGGTCTGATCCACAAGGCAGTGGAGCAACGTATGAAGATGCAGTCTCATGGTAGCCAGTGATCAACGATTAGTTCATTCGCCACTTGTTCCTTCAGGATACTGCAGCTCATGTGCACCATTGGTTTGGAATCAGGGTTTTCCAACTCCTCTAGGTGGACTCTCTGTGTCCACCAACCAGGTTAAAGCACCAAACACTTGTTTTTCGTCCTCTCAGTTTCGTAAACAACAGTAATGTCTTGAGAAGGCAGTGAGTAGGACTTCCCCGGCAGAGGCCACATATACGCGTGGCCAAGTGAGAGCATTTCGAGAGGGAGAGCGTACTCTCCCAACTCTCGATCGTACCAGGGCATTTGGGGGCGACTTTTAAGTAGTTAATGATAAATAGTACTCTTAAGATTATTTATTTAATTCTCTTGGGAAAAAATATTAAACTAAATATCCATTAATAGACTTTTAACAGTAAAATAAACTGCCTATCTAAAAAATGGTATATGACTGCGTAAATCTATTTACCTCATCAACCAAACGGCGTTTTATGATGCCACGCCGAATCATTTCTTGTTCAATGACACGAGCATTGGCTGCATACGAATCTGCTATTTCTTTCGCTTCGGCTTCCTCTTCTTCATCTTCAATAGTAGAAACAGTGACAGCGGTATCAATGCCTTGAGTAGTTTCTTGTTGTTGAACACTTCGACGCAATGGGGCGTTATTCGAGGCTTCACTTTGCTGTAGGGCAGCCGCCTCAGCAGCTAATGCTTCGAGTAATCTGGCATTAGCAGAGCTTTCATCAATATGCTTCGCAGCAGTTGGTCGTTTCGGACATAACATAGATGCAGATAATGCAGCTTGATCATCTTGAAGTTTTAATGCATTCTTTATAATAAATTCAGTCTAGTTAAATGGAAAAAAACGTATACCACGTGATTAGTCGTAATAATAAGACAGTGGATGATTGAGCTTTCTTTATTTGAATAGTAACACGATAAATTCAAGTATCGTTTATTAGTATAAAGGGTTACCTAGCAACCTTTGGATCACGATGTTTCAGACCACTTCACCCACTTGAAATTTGAAGTCAGGTAGAATTGTCCATCATCACATGTAAGTGTACGTATTATCGAAGGAGGAAGTAATTTTAGAATCGACGGATTAATAAAAAATCAGCTACTTATCATACCCATAGATCATAAAGTATTTAATACCACGAGTAATACCTGCTAGCATGTGGTTAGCTATCACTCCGATAAAGCATTGTAGTTTATGAAGGGTTTATACAAGACATTGATATATAATTTTTATCCATGATATACTTTAGATTTATTATGAGACAGTCAGCTCTCTCTAGAAATGCTGTCACATAACCACGTACATACGACCACTGTTAGGAAAGTCCTACTCACTGCCTTCCCAAGACATTACTGTTGTTTACGAAACTGAGAGGACGAAAAACAAGTGTTTGGTGCTTTAACCTGGTTGGTGGACACAGAGAGTCCACCTAGAGGAGTTGGAAAACCCTGATTCCAAACCAACGGTGCACATGAGCTGCAGTATCCTGAAGGAACAAGTGGCGAATGAACTAATCGTTGATCACTGGCTATCATGGGTCTGCATCTTTATACGTCGCTTCATTGCCTTGTGGATTAAACCTTCAGGTCAAACGCTCGAGGCTTAGCCTCCTGCTTAGCCACCTGCTTCGGTTTGGGCACCAGGGCAGTATCCCAGTCCTCACATAAATCGAATTATTTATGTGGCGCATATTTATTTAGTGCCTCCTTGTACCAATGTACAAGTGTTTAAATAAATAAATAATAAATACTGTGAGACCTATAAGGAGTGAGCATCAACGATCCTGTACGCGGAAACTCCTGGAATTCTAGTGAGAAGCCGTGACCAGTGGAGTTAAACCGTGTCGCGCGAGGCAGTTGCTCACCGAAGACAATGGAAGATCATTGTGGAATGTTGTGGATTGATTGAAGTTATACATCAACACCGTTGGATGCCCACTTCGTGGTTTAAAGGTCGAAGGTCCTGGGTTCGGTTCCCGCGTATGAAACCGTTGGCGCACACCTCTGAGGAGTCCCGCACAAAAACGAAACAGTCCCCTGATGATTTCAAGTTTTCAATAGTAGTTTGGCTAGCTAAGATAAATTCCTAATTTGAACCGTGAGAATATTTTTTATTTATCGAAAATTACCGTTGAATTTTCTGCACTGTGACGATAAAAGATTGGTAATCCACAGCTTTTGCAATACCTGCGGAACTGCTTCTCTATTCCATTTGGCCAACGTATATAAATTGGAGTGAGTGGATTAACAGCCGTGGCTGTTGTTTTATGAGCGCGTTTGGATCCATCAATAACTCTGGCGTCATCTCTAGGACGCCTTGGTAGTTTCTCTACTAGACAGTCAATTATCAGTGACATTTGACCACAGATACATGAATAGACAAACAGTGGTTTCTCGCTTCCGTAATTATGCCGTGGCCTCGAATCAGTTACAATATGTGTTGCTCGTTTGCGAACGCGTGGTTTATGATCTTTGCTCATATTTCAATTTGAAAATGATCTGGAAAAAATAAGTCAGTTTTACCACAATTAAAAAGAGGAAAATTCACTAAAACGTTTATCTTAAAAACATTCAGTATAAACGAATGTCAAACCAAATAGAGTCTGAGAAATGGATGCCTAAGAAATATTGCTGGCGTCTGCTGGGATAACCGGGTAAGTAATAGTGAGGTTAGACGCAGGGTATTAGGAAAGGATGGTAAATCAGTTGATGAGGTTATGAATCTTCATCGACTGAGATGGTTGGGCCACGTGTTACGTATGCCTGAACACCGATTACCACGACGTGCAATGCTATCCAGTATTGGAAATGGTTGGAAGAAAGTTAGGGGCGGCCAAACCAAAACGTGGCATCAGTGCTTGAAGTCACTAACCTCTAGTCTGAGCCATGTTGGTAGATGCAGACTACTTGGTTGGGGTCCGCGTGACTATCGTAACCAATGGTTGGAGACTCTTGGTGACATGGCTCAGAATCGATCACAATGGCGCAGGTGTATACACTCGGTTTCTTCCCTTAAACTATGAGATTAAAATCGCTTCATATCTTTCTTGCTACGAACCAATTCTTTCTTCTTGTACTATATCTCTATGTGCAATCTTTCTCTTATATATTACCACCTTTTACCTAACCACTGTTATGAATCTGGTGTTCATCTTGTTGTGTTGATGCGGTATGGCAACCTGAACCGATGCACACATGTGCCTGGTCCTACGTTGTAGCTGACTGACTGACTGACTGAGAAATGGGTTAAGTATATTAACCCCTTGAAAATCTATTTTGTTCTCCTCCTTCATTGCTAGACTACTAATTAAAACAATGCCTGACTTTGTGTATATAAGCGCAAATATCGAGAGGTTTCTTTGAGAAAAGCACGTACCTTTAAAGGCGCCGGCTAAGCTTGACTTTTAAGTGATTATGAAGTACTTAATTAATCACGAATCTGAATCATTGAGTAAGTAGTAGATAAGTTTAGAAACTACTTTGTTAAGCAGCTATTTTGTGGGGACTAACATTACCACTGAAGTAACTAGAATGTGTCTGGAAATTCATTTGTGGCTAATGAAGTGACGCATCAACCGCTAGCACTATTTCACTAATGCAGGTTGGTATTAAAAAATACAGCTGATACAAATAAGTGTCCACTACCTGATATTCCCGAATCAGAAAGTCCTTCAGAAGAACAAACAAAAGTATTTTGTTTAGTTAAACCATTATTTAACCTACTTATTTTAATACAGCTCGACGAATTACATGAGAAAAAGTCCTTTTTACGGGTTATATAAAATGTTCAGCTTGCAGCTCTAACGACAACAAGCAAACAAAAAAGGGGAATAAGGGCGAACTTTGGGGAAAATCCTTACGATGAGTCGGTGTGAATATACGCGACAATGAATCAAATTACTTTTCCGCAGCCCGGAGAAAATGATGCCGATTTTCTCCAAAATCACCCCACTGACATGTCTCGTAACTAACACTTTTGCCTTCCTCAAAACTAACACCAATTTGTTCATTTTTATCAAGAATAAACACGTTAAACAGTCAACATTTTGCAAAACTCAACAAACACTTTTGTACCATCCATATACTTCAGGAACACCCTTTTAATTCGCAAAAGCAACCGAACTATCTGCGCGCCCTACATAAAAATAGTGGTTTATATGAAGACGATTCATCAACAAATTCTACAAAAAGTTGTCGATAATATTAAAGTATTACGTTCGTGACTGGCCACAAGCAGTTGTTGGACTCTGGTCACACTCCCAGATCACTAAGCCCATCACCAACTCAGCCTTGTTTTCAGGTCTCAAGAGGGGATATCCTTCCACGGTATGAACAGCTGAGAAGTAACAACTACCCGTATACCCTTGTCAGCGCCTGAGGTTATCTTGTTCACTACAAAACCCCTCACTCAACTCTTAATAATTCTTCCATCCCTACAATCAATCCTTCTCGCATATCATCACGCCCCACCAATGCTAATGATTTGCGCTTGAGAAGTGTTATTTCTGGTTTCCTGAAACTACTCTCTAAACTACATATTATAGCTTTTAATGTTCGAAATTTGTGTCGAATAAAGCAACAGACTTTCTTAGCTAGGACTCTACAATCTCACGCTATCAATGTAGGCTGCGTCTCCGAAACGCACATATAGGATCCAGGTACTGCCATTCATATGACCTCACTACGTTAATATAAATAACCAGCACGAATTACACTTCGAGTATCTGTAAACCCCACTGCTACTTCCCTTGACCTCGCTGTTGTACGTAGAGCATTAAGTTCAAAAGCAGAAGTGTCCGTTAGGCTGGATTCCAATAAACAGTCGTCTGTGAAAGACAATAAGAAATCGAAAAAATAGCACATACTGTTGCATATTCCTTGTCTCTGCCTACACTTCCGATGATTGCAGTTCGGATAAAGTCAAAGATCAATTTTGTAGGAAACTATCCAACCTCTTTCAAAAAGCTGAAGGCCATGATATAGTAATGGTGGAAGGTGATTTTAATGCTCAAGTAGGCAAACTAAACCAAACCGAAAGGCGCTTGTGAGAATCTTACGGCTTAGCGAACAGATAATGGGGACCGTCTATTTCAAGCAGGCACCAACTTTAAGCGTAAGGTAGAACATCATCTGAAGTTGCGACTCTCATAATCGACTCAACGATGGACCATCGTTAGAGAGGTTCGATAAAAGATTGGTGCTCATTCTGGAAGGAATGTTTAGATTCGAATCATACTCTAATACGAGTACTTATACGTCTGCGTCTTACCGAACATAAAAAACCATAGCAAAAAAAGCTCAACGAGAAAGTCAAGAATGTATCTTCGACGTCCAGAATAACGTCTCACATTTGCGGACAATTCGACCACATCCTAGGACAGCTTCGCCATGTCATTATCTTTCACAATCTGTGAAACTAGATTCAGTCTCATACTAAACTTACTCGTCCTAGATTGCAGAGTTATTAGGTGTCGAAGCACTGGCTGATGGAAACGACACTACTTTGGTTAGGCTTATTTATACATAACTGGAGAGATGGGAGTTTTGTGGTTTAAATTCGGGATGTTTTACCCAGATGTATAAATCTTGCATTTCTGCGAAACCCACGTCGACAGAATCCTCTAGGTGATCTGACTTTCGTTCCAAAACTTATCTGCCAACAATGACGTAATGACGCCCAATCCGTTTTAATTTATCTTTCTGTAGTATTTATTCCAGTCTATGAAAAAGGTAATGAGTTGATGCGTTGTTGCGTATATTCACACCGATCTCTCAAAAAGACATTTCCTTGAAGTTTGTCTTTGTTTCCCTTTTATTGTTTGCGTTGTAGAAGGTTCCTACCAACAATGCAAACCTTAAGGGTTGAATGAACGAAATATGTGTGATATGAAGAAACAAAATCTATCGACTTTTGTTTGTGCCACCATCCCCCTACTTTTAAGTCGAAACCATGTAGCCACTAGTTTTCTGACTATCTAGTAACCGCCGCCTATTGCTGAGTAGATTTAGGTTTTAATGGTAATGCAACAAACTATTAAATCAAGCATTATACTACGAGGGTGAAAAAGTGGGATAGCTAAAGTATTAGTTAATCAGTAACTGGGAGTGTCGTTTGAATAACATTAAAAATTTGCACTAGGGAGCGCTTGAAATTTCCTGATGTAATGACATGACTAACCCTATGAGTACATCGTTGCAGATTACAACATACCAATACATGGCTATTCTATCGTAATTCCTATGTTGACAGAAATTACTCAAAACGTTACAGAAAATATAGCGCAAATATATATATAAAGACACATGCTGAACACTGACAGATTAAATTAGTGAAATGGAAACTTGATGAAAACTCAATTTAGTATAAACAAAAAAGTAATGCCAAAAAATAATTTATCTGTTCTGTCTTGTCTAAATATGGCACTTTCAACAGCCGTCTCATACTACAAATAACGTCTGTAGGCTAAATAGAGTTGAGTATGTAACTTAGTTGGCCGATCGCTCCAGCCCGTTCACCCTAATACGAGAAATTACTGCTAACTTTAGGGAAATTAAGGTGATATTCAGCGAAACGTCTAGGGCGATATAGCATTTCTAACACATTGGTTGGCCAGTGTCTCTACCGGTTGAAACACTCAAAAAATCATCGATCGATAATGAATAAAATCTTATATTTATCTCAACTATAGAACAATATGTTCCACAGAAACGGTTGCACCGTTTAGAAACATTAAACAAACTAAGTACTTATAGGCAAAAAAGAATATGTATATCGTACCCTGCCTCAAAAACTTGTAACCTCAGCAACCGTACAGATAAGATTGATACAAACTGTATCTGTATTACCGACTGCCAATGGATGGAATAAATCGTAGGTAACACACTAAAAACAAGAGCGACATGTGGATCTCAAGAAATCTTCAGAAGGCATTCAAGGAATCAGATCACACTGTACACACCAAAGTCAAACAGCGGCAAAATTACTGGTGCGTTCAAACAGTTCGAGTGGTTCTTGACGGAATGTAAGAAGCTTTCACTTAACAGGATTACGCATCTAGTAGCAGTGGATCACCGATGCCTCCGAGTAGGAACTTAGACATATTCAATGATGAAAGAGAAATGTATTAGTAAATTATAGTGAGGTACTGTCCTTAGTCCTTAAGAATATGTCAAGTTACTTCATAAAGGACTCCTAAGGAGTCGCTTGAATCGGCCCACCCGACAGTGGGTTCCAGAGTTTGACTACTCGTATGGAGTAAAACGTGTGTATTCAGTCCGTTCTGCTATGCTGTGTCACTAATTTCTGTGTGTTATCCCTGAGGTTTGTATTTGGACTGAACTTAAGTTGGTATTTAATGGGATGCACATGATTGTTTATGATGCTCTAATTCATTGGAAAATCACCTCTAAGACGCTTTGACTCGGATGGATGGAGATTCAGTGATTTTAGACGCTCTTCATAAGGTTTCAACTTGAGTCC